CTTATACACATCTTCCTGTGTTCTTCCTCAGTGTGAGGACAACTGACAAAAAATACAAAGTAAAGCAACATTAACACACTTTGTTGCTTTACTTTGTATTTTTTGTCAGGAGACAAGAGTGTTTGAAAGACCTGTTAACAATCTGATGAAATCTCTAAATTGGAAGTATGTATATCAACGATGGGAAGAGAATATACATATTATGACCTTTAAATGTTTAACAGGCACAGTCCATGAGTACTTAAATAATTTTTATGAGCAAATGGTCAAAATACATTAGTTTCACCTAAATGGAACAGTGAATTTGGGAAAAAAAACATTCAAATACTGCTCGGTTAAACTGTGGAACAATCTTCCCACTGATACTCGCAGTTCAATAAATTCTTAAATTTGCATTCCTTCAAAAATTTAATTTAAATTTACATTTTCATTTTGCTTCTTGTGTATACCAAATTTTGCTTGTGTTTACCAAATTTTCTTTTGTTTTTGTATATAATTTCTTAACTTTCATTTCTTATTTTAATGTTTTAACTATTAACTGAACCTTACGGACGAACAATTGAAAAGTTGATTAAGTATCCAGAATAAAGAAAGATTTATACATATTCTATTTATCTATTTGGCGGCCATATTGCGGCCATATTAAATGTTAAATGAAACTTGATTATTGGTATAACATTTAACCTATATATCATACAAAAAATAAGTAACCAATGTTTTTAGAGTAATGTTGTCATTAGGAATTGATTGAGAGTGCAGTACACTACACTCTCCCCCAACTAACATTGAACTACAAATTCAGACGGTCTGGGGCCTTAACTATTCGTGAGGATCTTCGCAATAGGGGTTTTTGAGCTGGTAGGACTGTTTGACCTTTGTCAACCTGTTTACACACTCCAGAGTTTTTGACCACCATTGTAGTTTGTGTGGAGAGTGTGGAGCTTTGTGTTGGCAAAGGCTCAGGGTGTGTTACCACATGTGGATCCCACTGCTTCTCATGAACTTCCCTTGGAGTATACCCACTTACGTCATTGACAGGAACACTAGGCAACTCCCGCAACACACACCAAATAGGTACACATCCATTTACATGCTTACCCATCTCTATTGTTTCTAACTCCAACATGTTCACCCACGTCAAATTTCCTCAAGTGCTCTACCTTACTGACAGTGACCATTCACTTCTTATGCGTTATGGTTTAATAAGACAAACCTTATTGAGGGGAACATGCTAAAAAACGACACCATAATATTTAAAATCATTTGAAGTTAGTTTGGACATAGGCTATCTCTGCTGGAAAATTAGGGGGAGGACGTCCATGTAGCCACCAACCGCAAACGTTTTGAGAACATACTCCTGTCAAATTTCCATGGATGGTGGTTTCCTCTGACTGCTTCCGTGGCTCCTTGATGACAATGATAGTTTGTGAATGGCTTGTTGATAGGGGTAACTTTTTCACCTGTACTTGAGAGAAAACCACCAAATCCTGGAATAAGTTGTTTCTCTACGCTCTCCATTGCACGTGCCAGTAACCAGATATGATACTCTCAGATGCACTCTACAGTTTAGCGCAGGCAGAATGAATACAGCTCCCTCAGACAGTTTTTGGCCCAACACGACTATATATACACTGATGCCAGGATCTTGGCCATATCCACTCTCATGAGCGCATCTTGCTTCATGCGTAGACAGCGTCCGGGGCATATTCTCCTGGTTGCTGGCTCCAAACGTGGGCTTCACATCCTGTACTATTATTCCAGCACTGTTAAACATATTTGAACCATCAATGTTTGTCATAATTTTGTTCAGATTCATCATCAGCTCTTGACGATGTATCCATTTCCCTCACTCCTCAGCTCAACAGCATTTCATCTCGAGTGGGAAAAATCTGAACAAAATTATGACAAATATTCATGGTTCAAACTGTGTTGAACAATAGTGGTGGAATTAAGGTACAAGAGGTAAAACCCGGGTTTGAGCTCTGGACGTTTCGTGTCTACAAACGAAGCAAAATGTGCTCCTTGAAAGGGGATATGATCATGTCCCTGGCACCAGTTCAGGTTGTGCTGGTCCCAAACTTTCTGAGGGAGCTGTATTCAATCTGCCTACACTGGCGGCAGTAATAATGTATGTGTAGAGGGAGTCCTCTATTAATTATAGTCATTTAAAGAATTACATGATTTTATAAGGGATTTTCTTTGTAAAACATCCACAAAAAAGACTCATTGAATGTAACAGCATGTGTAATACAATAATAAATATACGGTAGATTTATTGTGAAACTAAACGTTGCATCTGACTGGTGTTCATTGGTGTGGATAGCATTTGTGAACAGGGAGCTTGAATCACATTGGCCAGAAAATCATGGTCATTGAGTTTGACCATTATTTTTTTTCTCTTTTGTGGGGATTTCACCCACCTTTATTTCTTTCATTTCATTTTTTTGTCATTAGACACATAAGCATAACAAAGAACATGAGAAATTTAAATTAAATTGCACTGAAAAAGGTGTCAGTCCGCTATGGCTGACTAGAAATTACAACTTTTCTTTTCTAATTATTTAATATTTTGAAAAATGTTACTTTATAATAATCTTTTTATTTATTATAAATACACAAATATGTATACATATATACACGTACTTGTACATACGTGCACATGCACATACTTACACGTATATGAATATATAAACATTCACAAAAACAATCGTGCATAGAGATATATACACGCATCATCATTAAATACACATACATATACAATTTGTTTATTATATATTTATTTATTTTTTCTTTTACGTGTATAAAACCCATAAAAACAACAGATATACAGGGTCTGTCAATCTCCGCTGCTATACAACACATATACAAACACCTGCATAATACAGGGTCAGTCCAAACATGGCTGACAATCATTTCATTACAACAAGTATCTTCTATTATATTCAATTTCAAATAAGGTCATTTTTGTTTTCCCTTATAAATTAAAAATAATTTTGTCAACTTCCTTAATTATATTTTCAGGAACATCCAGTATGCTAGCATTGTACAAAAGTTTTGATATAGCAAGTGTTTTAATGATGGTAATTCTACCAAACACAGTTAGATTTCTCTTTCCCCATGCTGTTAATATATTTTCTAAAGAAACTATTTATTCTTCCAATTTTTTTGATAATAAAACTCTTTGTCATGTCCTACATAAATTCCAAGAATTTTGATCGGTTCAGAGAGGACTGCGTCATCAGCCAGTTGAGCAATTTTCACCACATGAATATGATTATTTACAGAAATATTTATTCCATCAATTTCTGAAGAACTTCTTATCTTGGTTGCAAGTACCTATGTAACCAAAATAAATAACAGTGCCGAAAGCGGGCAACCTTGCCTTATGCCCTGCTTCATATTAAAGCTTTCAGAAACCCAGCCATTGTTTGTAAATATATTTTCTGTATGTGTATACATAGTTTTAACCCATTTTATAAAAGAGGTTCCAAAGTTAAATTTATGGATAGTATTAAACATGAAATTTCTATTAACAGTATCAAAAGCTTTTTTAAAGTCAAGACTTACTAGAGCTCCATCTAATTGGTTGATATCCATGTGCGTCATAATGTCTTCAATTAGACGTACATTATCACCACCAAACCGGCCACTAACATAGCCTTTTTGGTCACTACTAACAATAGATTTAATAACATTTTGGAGTCTTTTTGTAAGGACAAAAGCTGCAATTTTGTAATCAGTGTTAAGCATGTGATTGTTCGCCAGTTATTGAGATTCTGGCGATCACCTTTTTTATAAATCAAGTTAATCACCCCTCTGCGTTGCGTTTTAGAAAATTCTTGGTTCTGATAACCATAATTTAAGGCGTCACAAACAATTGTATTAATAATAGGCCAGAGAGACCATCACAACCTGGTGCTTTGTTTATATTCATTAGCTGAATTGCCTGTTCACATTCGGTAGTAGTTATTTCACCTTCACATACATGTTTTTCCTCTTCGGTAAGAGCGCTTAAATTGATATTTGATAAGTATTTGTTAATTGTTTCATTAGAAATGTTTTGTTCAGCGTAGATATTATTTTGTGAAAAATTTAACTTGTTCTTGTAAGACTTCAGTTGTATTGCGAGTGAAAGATCCATTTTTCTTTTTCAATGTCCTAGTATTTTTAGTTTCACTATTGTTTTTTTCAATGCCAAGAAAGTATTTAGTGTTAGTTTCACCCTCTTCTATTAATTTAATTCTACTTCTTATTTGTGCTCCTTTCGCTTCCGTAATATAAATATTGTCAAGTTCCGTTTTCTTTTTTTCTAGGCTAAATTTTGTATTTTGTAAATAACTTTTTCAAGATTTTTTTTTCTCACTTTTTATTTTGTTTTTATGTTTTCCAAATTGACCTGAGTATTCCTTAATACTAATCTTTATTAATCCAGTGGATTTAGATCTTTTGTCTCAATTTGCTTAACTATACGTATGATGTGTTCAATGTAACTATTATCCTGTAAATGCTTATTGTTTAACTTCCAAAGTCCAGGCCCACGTTTATCGTGGGAAAGTTGGAGTTTTAACGAGACCGCTTGATGGTCACTAAGAATTGATGGTCTAATATCACAAGAAATTGTTTTGTGCATAATATTATCTGTGACTAGAACATAAGCTAACCTTCTACAAGTATTTGTTGATTTTCTGCGCCATGTAAAATGTTTTTTATTTGGATTAATTTTTCGCCAGACATCAACTAGTTTGCTATATTTCATTAATTTTTTAAAAGTAAAGACTGAGTTATCTTTTATGTCTTTACTTCCTTTCTGGTCGTACTTTCGATTTTGAACACAATTCATGTCACCAGCAATAATAGTATTACTATTATTATCTTTTTCAATAAAATTGTTAATATTTTTGTTTAACAATCTTTCCTTTATATTATTTGGTGCGTAAATGTTAATAATAACAAAATGACATGAGTCAAAAGTGACCTTTACAAAAACGAATCTACCGTTATTATAGATCATACTTTTGGTAATTTTAAGGTCGTGTATTTATTTTCTCTGGTCAAATGTGTTTCTTGAAAACAAAAGATATCAAATTTGCTATCGAGTGCCCATTTGAAAAGACCATTAGTTGTTAGTTTGTACCGTGGTTGGACTAACATTATTTTTAAAATATTTTTTTATACAATACATTTTGGCCTATACCATTAAAAAGCACATTTCCACCAGGATCAGAGCGTTTTGTATTAAATTTTGAGTGTAAATAAAGTGACTTCTCATATTGTTGTAGTTGCAATGTATCAAACCTGCTTAAATCATAGGTCATGGATCTCAATCAATTCCCAATGACAACATTACTCTGAAAAAATTGGTTATTTCTTTGTTTGTATAATACATGTGAAATGTTATACGGTAATCAATGTTCATTTAAAAGACAATATGGCCGCTAATGTGGCTGCCAATATAGCTGGCAAAATGGCTGGGCAATGTATTACGAAGTCCATGTTTTGTATTGAGAAAATAAACACTGTTTATACCATAGGATTATACTGTATGTTTAAATGTTCTTTTGATTTTATATGATTTTTAGTTAATATATTATACAAATTAATGATTTTTATTGACAGTCCAATATTGCCACCAATATGGCCGCCAAATGTATTGTATTGAGAACATAAACACTGCTTACATTTAGAGATTCATTTAATTGTATATGATTTTTAGTCAATACATTATGCAACTAATTGATTTTCATTTCAAAATCCAAGATGGCCGCCAATATGGCCGTCAAATGTAAATGCTAGGTCAATGTTTTGTATTAAGGACTTAAATACTGCTTACTATATACACTTAGAGGTTAATTTGATTTTATATGATTTTCAGTTAATAAACTATGCAAATAATTAATTTTCATTAAAATTCCAAGAGGGCCGCCAAAATGGCGCCAAACGACCCCGTGGGGTCAAAATTCTTTCATGAGATACTTTGAGG